GGAAGTGATCAACCAAATAACACGAGTCTGTAGGGAATTCTTGTGGGGGGAAGTCTAATGCAAGAAGCAAAATAGCCCTAGTTTCTTGGGAAAATGTGGGTAGACCTAAAAACGAAGGGGGGTTGAACATCAAGGACCCGGGAATGTGGAACTTAGCTGCAGTTGCTAAACAAGTTTGGGATATTGCAGCTGATAAAAATTTGTTATGAGTGAGATGGATACATGCTTATTATCTCAAAAGGAAGGATTTGTGAGAATATGAACCACCAACTGACTGTAGTTGGCACTAGAGAAGGCTACTGTTGATCAAACAGAAATTGAAAGAAGGTGTGGAAGCTAAAATATGGGAACCAGGAAGGGCTGAATACAGTACTAAGAAAGGATATGAATACTGGAGGAATAAAGGGCACAGATTTGAGAGAGCGCAGCTGATATGGGACAGAGTTTGTGTATCTAAAGATAGTTTCATTGGTTGGATTGCTTGGCGGGGAGACAAATGACAATGGAGAGAATGATCAAGTTGAACATTGTTGGACCACAGACTGGTTGTATACTGTGTGGACAAGACGTATTGGAAAGCTGTGATCACTTGTTCTTTGAATGTAACTATGCTAACAGGTTGATGAGGAGTCTGTTAGATTGGATTGGGATGCAAGGTGGGAATTTAACCCTTAAATGAGTGCAGCAAAGGGTCAAGTTTGGATGCCAGTTTAAATAGATGAAGAGAAGCTTGCCAATGAAGCTTTATGGCTTGTGTTTATGGTGTCTGGATGGAGAAAAATGCATGAAGATTTGCGCAGAAAACCAGAGAAGTTGTAGAAAGAGTGGAGCAGATCAAGCAGGAATTGACATGGAGAATTCAAAATGCTTGTAAAAAACTCATGTTGGCTGATTTAAAGTATTTAGAAGCTAGAGGTATTCTGTTTGTACAGTGATAGACAATGAATGTAATAGCATAGAAAAAGAACAAGTATGTAAGGACCACAAGTTTTGTCAGCAAATAGATTTCATCTTTTACCAAAAAAAAAAAAAACTGTTTTTAACATTCAAGGTCTTGAATGATTCACCTCTCGATACGTTTATGTTGATTGTTTGATTTCAGGAACTCTGCCAAAATATTTGATTCCTGACTGATCGAGTCCATCTTTATGAGTATTTCTTTGCTGCCGATCGAACAAAAAGAACACTACAATAAGTGAGATTTCACATTCAATCAAAACTATGTTAATCATCAATAACAATGCTATTGAAGATAAATAATTATTTTGAAAATGATGAATAAACATTAAAATTGCATAAGTCGAATCCAGTTAATAACAATCTTGTACAGGTACATATTAAATAATTATTTATGGAAAGAATAACACATGTTCATAGGATGAATAACATACATTGACATGATGAATAACATAATTTTACAGGATGAATGACACGCATTTACAATCGTGTACGTTCATATATTACATGATGAATAACAATTCATTAGAATGAATGAGATTTTTGTGCATGATGAATGATATTTACAGTATGACTAACACGTATTCAAATTCACATGATGAATGATATGTATTCACATGATTTATCAGATCACTTTTTAGATGAATAACGGCACAGTAGAGGATGAATAACTATCATATTTGCATGCACTTAATCCAGACCAAATGCCTACAATGGACAGACTAGTTAATGAATAACGTCTTAATAGACGATGAATAATCATGATTAACATGATAACTAATCATCAGATCTGCATACACCCAATCCAAAATAAAATATCCACAGTGCACATATTACATGATAAATAACAGATTCGCAAGAGGTGAATAATCACTTTTAATAGGATGAATAAATCAGCATTTCGTACACGATATCTATAAAACGCAAATTATATTTAATTAGAATGATGAATAATTATTATTACATGAGATTCAACGTCGGAAAGATCAGAATTTTCGACAATTTCTTGCTCCAAATTTGTAGGTGACCGGCGGTAGTGGTTGTGAGATTTGTAAATCTAATCTTCTTTTTCTCAGCAGATCTGAATTCATAAACCTTTGGTGATCCACCAAATAGATGAATAAACTCATACTACGGATAAATATGTCCATAAAAGTACATATTGTATTAATCCACTCAGATGAATAATAATGAACAAAAAATGAATAACGAGCGTATAATTCATGTATTACGATGAATCACCCATAATTGACGATGAATAATACGTGTATAATTGATGAATAATGAACAGATCTGTAAAATCCTTCCAAAATCAACAACCAACCGATGAAGAAAACCAAAAAATTGATGAAGAAACAATTATTATCCAATGCACAACCCTTAGATCTACATTACTCAACCAAAAAAAAAAAAAAACATAAATCGTTGAAGAGAATAATAGTATTCTTTCCCTCTTCTTCAGTTTCTGAGTTGCTCGTACTCGGATCAGAATATATAATCGTAGCCCTCTACATGAATATTTCATTAAAAAAAATTATTATTAGAATTTCATACATGGAAGAAACACGAAAAACCGATGAATAAGATCATATATTACATTAATTCTCATATCCAGCAGAGTTTATTGTAATCAAACTCACGGGATTAGATGCACAATCGAATTCTGTCTTCAAAAACACCGCAGAATAGAGGTACTGTTGCCAAATTGCCGCAGAGATTAATATTTGGTTTTTCAGATTTTTTTTAGTTTGGGACGTATGTGGATTGAATGGAATAAGAAGTTAGATATGATTAATTGCTTGAAATTAGGACGGTCATGGGGGATTTGAAAATAATAAAAAAATCCTGAAAAAAGGGTGAATAAATGACAATTTCAAAAAATCTCAATTTTGGGCGCGTGCATATCACACTAGGTGTTCCTATGAGCACTATATTATAATTAGACCTATAAATATATAGGAGATTTTATGAAAAAATATTATTTTATTATTTTATCAATTTTTCTTTTTATTTTTGTACTGATTATAAATTAGGACCAGAGAAAATTATTAATTATTAGAAATTATTAATTTATAGATTATTAATTTTACAACGTTCTATTGTATGTAGTATCCAGATCTCCCTATTTTAAGCGCGCCCTGCTTCACCACATGCGTAACCCAACTTCTTTTTAGTTACAAAATTGCCACCGCTCCTACTGTTGTCCACACGCTTTTTCTTTTAAATCCAAAATTCCAAGTTCACAATTTCACCTTGATAGCTCCGTTCGTCCTTAAAACACTAGTTAAGCGATCCGGATCATTATTTTGAAAATCTATCCGAAATCCTCAAAACTACTTCAAATAGATTTGCAGGTCAAAACTCCTTTCTGTGAATCTCGTCCAGAATTTACCAATTTTTCGTCTACCAATATTGATTTTGAGGTGGAAAATCGAAACTAGTTTACTTTTTGAGCTGTGCGATTCGATGTATCTTGCGTTTATCGTTTACATGCATCTTTTTTTTCTTTATAATTATTGGTCAATTGTTGATATAGATATTCAACAGCTCTCTCTCTATATATATGTGTGTGTATGTATGTATATGAATATATTAATCCGGTAACGTAAAAATGTAGTTGTGTACGTTATCCTTATATCACATCTCTGGTTGATATTCATTCCATGGATTAATTGTTCGTTGTGTACATTAGTGATATTCATTCCTAGATTGCATTATAAAATGTAGTTGTGTAGTTATCCTTATATCACATTTCTGGTTGATATTCATTCCATGGGTTAATTGTTCGTTGTGTACATTAGTGACATTCATTCCCTAGATTGCATTATTCATTGTGCACAATTTTTTTCTTTGATGTCCATTGGCTACAACGTATTATTTATTTTTAAATTATTGATGTTTATCCACTAACTCCTACGTTATATCACAAATGTAGATCCCTGAAGTGTGACACTATCGAACTCATTATGTATTCAACCCACAAATTTTTCTTGGACAACCCTTGACCCTCATAAAATACCCATGTGATGTTATCATTAAACAAACAAATCAACCCAACACGTAAAAACGAGAGGCAATTTGGCCCATTACCTTCTGAAATTGAAATCTTTAGAATACCACGTCGAACCAACACTCATCACTTCGAGTTAGCGATAAATTAATAACATTAATAAATTAATAATTTTTTCTGGTTTCAAATCGTGACCAATACAAAAAATAAAAACAATCGATAAAATAATAAGATAATAATTTTTCAAAAAATCTCTATGTAAATATAGGTTCCATCAATATCATAAATTAATAATGACTTGAAAAAAAAATAAGCTAGTAAAATATGAATATAGTGATGTTTGTTTTTTCTTGAAATTTATATATAAGAAATTGTAGATGTTATGAATTTTTTGCATGATGTATCCAACAATTGATGAGAGTTTAAAGATTTTCAAGAAAAAAGGTTAAATCTCTATTAATAGAGGCATGTTACGTAGATTGTAATTTTCTTATACAGCTGTGCTTAAAAGATTGATAAGAATCTTTAGGATTTTCTTTAAATTAATAATTATTAATTTATCGATAAATTAATATATCGATAAATTAATAATTTTTATGGGTCCTAATAATATTAATTTATAGATGTTTAACTGTAGTTGAAAGATAACGAAACCTCTAATCAGTACACCAAAGTTGGTTAATTATCACAATTGTTTGACTTTGATTTTCTCTTTTATCCGGATATTCAGAGCTCACAAAATTGAGTATAAAAAAAATTTTTAAAAAAAAGAAAGATCTTTCCGTAATCCAAATAAAAGTACAAACATGTTGCTTGCACGTCGTTTTTTGCGACAATCGTAAATTTTTGACGAAAATCAAACTTTAGAATGATACAGCAGTTATTTTCTTTGCAACAATTTTCAGTGTGAATGAAGGAGTAAAATAGGAGTTCAATCATATATATATAGTAGGGGTACACATATTACTTACTTACTACATCCCACAAAATACCAGCAGTTAAAAGCTTAAATTAACTGCGATGTTAAAAAAAATCACACATGATCTGGTGTAGTATTAGGTGGAGTTGGAGCAGAAGCAACTCTTTTTCCCCTCTCAGACCTGCTGTTCTCAGCAAACTTAAGACTTCCAAGATGCATTCCTTTCTTTTTCTCTTCATCATTGTATTCCCTGGTGTAATAATGTTCTTCGGTTCCTTTAACAATATCTTTTGACGGCGGTAAAAACATGCTTCCCCATTGAGGAAAATGGACTAATGTCACCGGAAGTGTACAACACATGATCATTATTCCCATGTATGACAACCCTTGAGCTGTGGTGAACTGTGTGGTTGAGAAGAAAATGAGTTGGGTTAACCCGGATCCGAAATTGCCACCAGCTCCGGTCATTCCGGAAATTATACCCAATGATCTCCTGGAAATGAAAGGGATGATCCCGAAAGTCGCGCCGCAGGCAGCCTGAGCTCCAATGGAGAAAATGATCATCCATGTGATGGCAAGTGGGAGTGAATTTGCTCTTCCTAGCAAAAAGCAGAAAAGTCCTCCTAGTGTTTGCAAAATCCAAAGTGTCCATAGCCTTCCTCTCATTCCAAACTTCCTGGCAGTGAAATCGGAGGCGAATCCACCAAAGGGTCGAGCTATAAGATTAGCCATACCAAAAGTTGCTGCAATTGTTCCAGCTGTGTGAAGCTTTAGATCAAACCTGAACAAAATCCATACTTTATTTAGTTAGTCCCAAACATATACATAGTGGTAAGACGTTTTTTCTGCTTTTAATGAATCACAAATTCGAGATCCTTTAGTGGAGCCTACAACTTTAAAAAAAAAAGAGTTTCTTCTTATTTTAAATACAAAAGTAAGGAATCGAAATTGCACCTATCATAGAAGTATTCAGCAACAACATTGTCTGTGGATAGTTCAACTCCCATGGAGTATCCATACAAGAGCACAAATATCCATGTTCTGTAGTTTGTAACTGCATACCATAGTACCTAAATACATTGAAACAAAGGATATATACATATGTCAACAGAAGAATCTAAAAAGGGGAAACGAGTATCATTTATTCTGAAATGATTGTCCAGTTTGTAATTGCACTAAAAGGTATAATTCAAACCAAACAACCATTTTGGGACAGAAGGCTCTATGATAGGATAGATCATACGTAATCATAAATAAAGAGTTTAATTAACTTACCTTGCCAAAATTGTCTTTGGCAACATCACCCTTTTTCTGAAGCTCCCCAAGATTCCCATCAGGCAAATCCTGGCCTAAAGTAAGCACCAAAATACCCATGATTACATGCATCCATCCAGGGATGAAGAACGCAATCCTCCAGGCAGTAAACGGAGTTGAACCCGTCTTGCGAATCAAATCGTATAGCAACGGCATTATCAGCTGAGTAGCTCCTCCTCCCATATTACCCCAACCAGCAGCAGTTCCATTAGCGAGACCAATGATTTTACTATTGAACATTGTGCTCATCCAGTATTGGCATGACACAAATGTTGCGAGAGAGAATCCAATCATGAACCGAACCGCGATGTATCCACTCGCATCAGCAACAAATGACATGCAAAAGACGGTCGGAGCAGACAACATGATCAGAAATGCACAGCCATATCTTGGCCCTAGCAAGTCGCAGACGGCTCCCATGGCGAGCCTAGAGAAAATACTGCCCGAAACAGAAGCAACACCGGCGTTTCCAATATCAGATTTCGTAAGGTTCAGGTTATCTCTGATAATAGGAACAAGAGGGGCTGCAGCAAAAGTGGAAACAAAGCAAGTGAAGAAGGAAATCCAGGACAAATGGAAAGTCCTCATATGAGGATTGGCAAATGAAAAGAGCTTGAATTTTTTAGCCTTATGCTCAGAATCAACAGGAAGATCAAATTTGGCTGTTGTATCAGTTGGCACCATTGGAGATGCAACTGAGAAAGCCAAAACAGGCTCTCTGCCTGTAACTCCATGCATAGAACTCCCTGGGGATCCTTCAATATCACCCATTTTTTCTGCACTTTTTTTATTTTTCTTTTGGGTACCAAAAAGGGCTAAAGAAGAATGGATCTTTTTGTAAGAAAAGCTCACTGCTCTTTTCTGGGGAACAGAAGAAGGGAAGTGTGGTATTTATATAGAAAGATAGGGTTGACATTCTGCAAAGATATTGATTATTACAACTAGTGATCAATTGGTATCTGACTATGAACAGTATTTAGCCTTTTCGTATATCCTAAAGGATCATCAGGACTTGTTTAATCTTTTTATAGGTTCTTAGAATATTCTAACTACTACTTTATCACCAGCTACTATCCTATTAATGTTGCAGCTAGCATAAATTGATGTACGCTTTGTGTGAAGCCAAGATCAGTATCTTGCTAGCTAGCTACTTGGTAGAAATTTAATAATTTACCCATTGACCAGGAAAGATAGATAATTTTATTTTTATTTTCTTCATTAGTGTGAATTAAAAACTTGAGCACGGAAGGCATCGCCAATTAGACAAATTGTATTAACACTTGAAATTCTAAATTAGTTTAGGAAATGTGTATGTGAAAAACTTGCCAAGCAGATTTTACGTGGGAATGGCAGGATCAACTAATTATAAATTGACTGCTATCTAATTCTGTGGCTTAATATATCCTTAATTAATTGCAATCATCTTTCCGATTTATTGTTTATACTATAATAGTTTGCCATCACTTAGTCAAATTAACAGTTCATTGAAAGAAAGCATGTTAATTAAGTTCTATGAGTATTGTTCTTTTCACGATGTAGATTAATACTAAATGAAACACTAGCATTAATTAGTGAGGCTAAGAGATGTGCTAGCTAGCTTAAGACAAATTTGTTTAAACTCTTGGAACAAAGTACCGTTTTAAGTCATAGTTCAGTCTATGATTCTCAAAAGCCTTTTAATGTTTTCGGCATTAAAAAGGGTTTAGGACCATGTTTGATCTATCATCTCAATTTAAAACTATCTCTGTCACAAGTCTTTTAGCCATGGGAGGAATTTAAATTTCAACTTAGCTAGAAGTATTTGACCATCATTATATGATCTTATTTATAAGTCACCAATTTAATCGAGACAATCTCGTCGGCCAAAATTTCAACGAGGTAGCTTGCATTTCGGACAATTTAACGGCCAATGCATAACAGTGGTCCAGTGACAATAGTGAGGACCGTTTTTAAAAGTAGCTTAGGTAATTCTAATTACAAAATCTAACATATCACACATGTCGTTAAAATAGTTTAGATACTTCTAATTAATATAGAGGTACCATTCTAAAAAGAAGAAAAAGACAATAGTGAGGACAGGAAGTGGCCTTTGAAGATCATACACTTAAAAATTCCAAAAACCCTAAAAACCACAACAATTAAGTCTGGAACATTTATCTTAACCCGGTTGAACCTGTTTGTAAGTCTTTATATTGGTTGAACGGCAAAATATATGCTTCTCCCTATCTCTAAAGAGTATTGATATTTAAATTAATTTTAATACAAATTTAAAAACTCAGCCTTGATAATAGTACTTTTTAGTGATAGAAAAAGTACTTTTTTCACTAATGAGTGGGAGGAAATATCGATCTATATATAATTCTATATTGCACTTCAAACTAGCTAAACATGTTAGTCTCAATCAACCCGGCGTAAATCCCTCCATTAACCTTCAATAAAATTCATGCTAATCAGATAAGCCAGCGGCATTTTTCCGCATACTCAGGATTTAGGCTCTAAGTGGACGGAAAGATTAATAGGGATATTAGTAATACTGTTCCGACTTCCATCGACCTCAAGTTATAAATAATATGCATCTTATAACTAAAATCAAGAGCCAAAATGCGTTGGACACAAGGGTGCATATGAGTCATTCCCCGCTGACCATTTCTTTCATTGCATTAATTACATATGATGTATTAGAAGATGATTACAGATCAGTTGACTTCCAGCCCTTCTCGATCGAGACATAAAGTTGGGGAAGGTTATATTACTGGAAACGGAAAGTCAAATGATCAACACGTCAACTTATTCGTCTTCCTAATAATGGTCGACATTTTCAGAACGATATGCCACTTCTCTCTTTACCCTTTCACAAGCTGTGAGAGTTCTTGACGCTTTTAAATTTACTGGAAGTTTGAAGAAATTGAGATGCGCAGATCGGAGACTTTTCGATCATTGGCTGTTTATACTATACTGAATATTAATTGTTTGTTAAGTGGGAATTTAATTTGAAAAGGAAAAAAAAAATGATGATGATTTTTGTTGAAGATTTCGAACTTGGGACGTTGAGAACAGATTTTCATTTACGTACGTAAGAACAGAAACTTATGTCGTTGATTTACCTTTGCTGGAGTTTTAATTTGCACCCCTTTCTTGTAAGTGTTCTTTTTCACTTTAGCAAAGGGACGTTAACCTTTTCCTTGCCAGCCAAGAAATTAAGTTGCTGCTTCGTGCTTGGCGTTTCAATATCCATACGCTGTTCATACGGTGATTTTGATGATTTTTTTTTAATTTTTTTTTTTTTTTGGTAATATGATGATTTGTTTTAATGTCCTTATAGTAGAAAACAAGTGTGCTTTGTTACTTTTACCGTAAAAATTTTCAGGTAAACAAGTACTATAATCATACTAATTAACATTCAACCAAATTAAATGGACCATTTCCGGAGACAATAAACCTTCCAACATTATTTTCTTCATCACCAAAACTCTAAGTCTCAACGTTTTTTTTAAGGAATAAGTACCCGAACTCCCAAGTCATAACTTGGTGTTTAAAAAAAAAAATAAAAAAAAGAACTAAAATAAAAGGATGGGGCCAGCCCCCGGGTGGCCGGGTGGGGGTGGGTGGTAATTTATTCATCCTGTATTTTCCAATGGCTAAGTACTTAACTGCAATTCCATTACTCCGATGGAATTGATCATCTATGCATTAAAACTCAAAAGGACTGAATCTCAAAGAGTTTGTAGAGCTCTGAGAATGGGGCTCAAACAATTTTGTTCCTTTGTAAAGGCATGACAATTTTAGTTGTCAGTTTTAATTTAATTAATTTTATAACTGTTATTAATAGCTCTCGTGGCCAATTCAACGATAAATAACTGGTTATAGATATCAGTTTCACCAATAAAATGAATCTACAATTTGTACAAATTATGAAAACATTGACATCATTTGTTTAATAACCAATTCAAAAGGAAAGCATGTGTGTTTGTTCCAGTTTGTGACTCTACTTAATGTGTTATGTTTTTTACTTTCATTGTACACTTGTGTATATGCACAAATTTAAGTTGTGACCATGCACAAATAAGCTATATATAGTAGTTTATAGCTACCTTGTTATATATCCATTAATTAAGAGATTAATCAAACATTGGTTATTTGCACAAACTTTTTATGTAGGAGTAGTATTGGTTAACTTTACACATGGCCAGTTAAATGTATACAGTAGTGAACTGAAAAGCTAATTAGCTAATTAAATTTTAAGCATGGTCTAAAGAGTAATTTTTGAGTGCTTGTTCTTCATCATTAATATAAAGTGGTATTACAAACTAGGAAAAAAAAAAAAAAAGTTAAAAAGTTTCATCACACTTTTGAAAGCAGTAACGTCAATAAAATTAAACATGATCTGGTGTTACATTAGGCGGTGTTGGGGCAGAAGCAACTCTTTTCCCCCTCTCAGACCTGCTATTCTCAGCAAACTTAAGACTTCCAAGATGCATTCCCTTCTTTTTCTCTTCCTCGTTGTATTCCCTGGTGTAATAATGTTCCTCAGTTCCCTTGACAATGTCTTTTGATGGAGGCAAAAACATGCTTCCCCATTGAGGAAAATGAACCAATGTCACAGGCAATGTACAACACATGATCATTATTCCCATATTTGATAAACCTTGTGCAGTTGTGAACTGTGTGGTTGAGAAGAAAATGAGTTGGGTTAATCCGGATCCAAAATTGCCTCCTGCTCCTGTCATTCCTGAGATTATACCCAATGATCTCCTGGAAATGAAAGGGATGATTCCGAAAGTCGCGCCGCAGGCTGCCTGAGCTCCAATGGAGAAAATGATCATCCATGTAATGGCAAGTGGGAGTGAATTTGCTCTTCCTAGCAAAAAACAGAAAAGTCCTCCTAGTGTTTGCAAAATCCAAAGTGTCCACAGTCTTCCTCTCATGCCAAATTTTCTGGCAGCGAAATCTGATGCGAACCCACCAAAGGGTCGAGCTAGAAGATTAGCCATACCAAAAGTTGCTGCAATTGTTCCAGCTGTGTGAAGCTTTAGATCAAACCTGAACAAAAGTCAATACTTTATTTAGTTAGTTCAAACGTATATATAGTGGTTAGACGTTTTTCCTACTTTTAATGTATCACGAATTCGAGATACTTAAGTGGAGCCTACAATTTCCAAAAAAAAAGATTTTTTTTTTTCTTCTTTCAAATACAAAAGGGATCGAAATTGCACCTATCATAGAAGTATTCAGCAACAACATTGTCTGTGGATAGTTCAACGCCCATGGAGTATCCATACAAGAGCACAAATATCCATGTTCTGTAGTTTGTAACTGCATACCATAACACCTAAACACATAGAACAAAAGAATAAATAGATATGTCAACAGGAGAATCTAAAAAGGGGAAACAGATAATAATTATACTACTCCAACCCCGAAATAGATTATCCGGTATGTAATTGCACTAAAATTGAGTCGTCAAACCAGACAATCATTTTAGGGCAAAAGCGTATATAGTAGACTATTGATCATACGTAACCATAAAGAAAGAGTTCAACTCACCTTGCCAAAATTGTCTTTGGCAACATCACCCTTCTTCTGAAGCTCGGCAAGATTCCCATCAGGCAAATCTTGGCCTAAAGTAAGCACCAAAATTCCCATGATTACATGCATCCATCCAGGGATGAAGAACGCAATCCTCCAGGCAGTAAACGGCGTGGAACCCGTCTTGCGGATCAAATCGTATAGCAATGGCATTAGCAATTGTGTAGCTCCTCCTCCCATATTAC